CACAGGTGTGGGGGGACGGGATTCACAGGCTTTTCTTTGTTTTTACCAACATGTTTCTAAGGCTTAGCAGACCAGTGAAAACCCCCTAAATGCACTAGATTTTGAATACTGAAAAATGATAAAGATCGGTCAACAAATTATCATTTGGCACAATAAACTTAGAGGAAATAAATGTTGAAGGAACACAGAAGGAAAGAGAATGAAGGGAGTAGCTCAGAAGACTTCTCTGTCACCATGTGCTGACCAGAACTCTACTGAAATGTAATACAGGAATATTGAAATGCTGACTTGTTCAGAGCAGAAAAGCAAATTAAGGTATTTAAATTCTGTAAAATCTATTTGGAGTATACCTACATTGCATGCTCTCCCTGATCCCAGCAGGTTTGTGTTTTGTTTTGGTTTTTTTTTTTTTTTTTTTGGTTAATCCTGTTTCTTGTGTATAGGTGGAAATTAAATTCATGCAGATAGATTTACAAAATGCTAGGTTACCTCTGTCATATTTAGTCTCTACAGCTCCCTCTGGTTGCCCCACATGACATTACACAAACTGCCTCACTTTCCCTTTAAGTCTTGAGTTTTTCTTTTTGTCACCCGCTTCTCAAGTACCTACCCCAACTCTTCAATGCGTTAGGCAGCAGCACATCAGTAGCAAACTGTTTTCCTTCTGTCACATGTAAGCCCTTGTCTTAAGAAAACTGTTATCTTGATTCAATATGCATATAAATATGGATGCTGAAGATGCTGGTTGGTTTCCTAGAGATAGATAGGGAGCAGACCAGACTGTGTACATCAGTTTTATGTTACCTGTAATATTACAATCAAAATGAAGGCTACATTGTGTTGGTCTATGAAATAGCAACATAAGGGAGAGTCCCTGAATGGGGTCATATCTAGGATCATCAGTCTGACCTCTGAAAGGGTGGAGAAGGAGCTGTTGTCACCATATATACATCAGGAAGGGATCCACAAAAGTAAAAGGCTGAACTGTCATTCCATCTGAACACAAGTTAAGGAGAAGATGGAACTGGGCCATTTGTGGATATGTGTGTCAGCATGAAGAAAGGTGATGGGTATAAACTGAAACAAGAGAGTTTCAGACTGACGTGAAGAGGAGGAAAAAAAAAAAAAGAAAAAACAAAAATTGTTCATGAAGGGGACTCTCAGCATCATGAGAAACTTAAGAAAAAGTTAGAAATGCAGAATTTGATCCTCAGCTGTTACAGGCTGGCTTTATCAAGCGTTAACATCTCTCTCATTTTCAGTCATAGCATCCAAAATGCAGTGTGCAGATCTGAAACATTTCTTTAAAGCACAGTTATTTCTTTTGATTAGTGAACATGCAGAATCAGTCTTGGCATATAAAACAAAGGATAGTTCTCAGTTATGTAGTATCAGAGCTTGCTGAAACACTGATGATTTGTAATATTGTATTGTGGTGTCTGTAGAAGATGTTGTACAGCCTTCACAAAGTTCTTTGACGGTATTTGTGCTCAGCCTTCAACAGGGTATATTTAACAAGTGAATTTTTTCCCCCAGGGGAATCCCACACATTCATCTCAAATTTTGAGGACAGTTTATGGCATGGAAACACGAAGTTATTTAATCAGGAACAAACCACAGGAATGTAAACAAATTGTGCAGGAGAATGAACAAAGTATTTTTAGAAATCTGTGGGTGTAGCAGCTAAATCTGTTGTGAGTCATCCTATGTTCTCCATGGCAGACCTTAGACTTCGGATGGTTACAGGGTGAGAAATACTGTCCAGCACATGGACCTCTGCTCCCACATACCTCCCCTGGGGGGGCTGATTTTTAATGGAAATTTAAGTACTTGGAGCTCAAGGGCTGGAACTAATGATGACTATATTAACAAAGTATCATGAATGAAGCTTTTATGCATAATTTAAAGTGATGTTATTACTTGATGTTCAAACATAAGGAGTCTGATAAAATATAGTTTGTTTGTTTTTTCTAGTGTTTTGTGCAGGAAAAACAAAAACATGTTTAAGATGAGGATTTTGAACTTGATTATTCTAAATAATTGTAGGTAAGTGTTATTGCTTGAAAGTTCCTTGAGAAGGTGGACCAAAAACTTGGTATCAGCAATGTAAAAGAAGTTGCTAATTTAGGAAATTAGCAAAGAACAGGAATGTAAAGAGCAAGAGTAGTCTATCCTGGCCCTGCACGTAGGAGCATCTCTCTGAAACTGGGGAAAGAAAGAGAAGGATGTTAGGGAGAATCAGGAATGGAGAGTCTGCTGCATGGGAAAGCCTTTGAAGTGATGAACAATCTCTTTGAACATTCAAATCTTGTAATCAGATGCACCTGATGTAGATGAATAGTTACTTGATAGTAAAGATCTGATTCTAGGACATCTATATTGAGTTGCATGATATTAACTTTATAATAAGCACTTTGCTTATGTATCTCAATAAAAACTACTTAGGAAGTATTTCAAAACTCTTTCCTTGAAGACACTTGGAGATTTCCCAGTGAATAATTTTGCCCTGGCTGACCCTCAGAGAGACACTTCCCGTTCTAGAGGTAGTTGGGAGCATAAGTCTGATTAAATCAAAACCCAGGCTGTACGGAAACTGTGCAAGGGAATAGAACCAGACTTCTAGTGTACAATCTGGGCCCAAGTGATCCTTCCCCTTCCTACAGACCGCAGCCATGAGATCTTCCCAGCACTGACACCAGTGCTGCATGTGCCTACATATATATATACATAGCACGGCTATTGCCTGAAGGTCTGGGCCGCAGAGCAGCTGGGTGTATTCACACCAAAATTACGTGGCAGGTATATGCCTGGTCATTCATGGTTATGTTGACCAACACAGGTTTTGTACAGATCCTTGGGAAAGGAGAAAGAAAGGACAGACCCCATCCCCTCATTGTAGGCTTTTGTTCAAACAAGCAAGACCCTCCATTGCGGACACTAGGACGAGCATTGGAGTTAAATCTGTAGGAGAGGTGTGATGGTGGTAAAGAGTGGTGTGACTTTGGTAGTGGATGGTAGCTACTAGCCACTGGCTTGCTGATCTGTTATTAAATATATCGCTACTGGAGACACCTTCATGGGGCTGGACTGTTACGGGGTACTGATATTCAAAATATGTGAATATTATGTATTCATGCACAATGCGAACTAATCATAATGCATACTGGGTTGCTGAAGGTATGAGAGACATCTGGCTTCCACTGTCTTGGGATTTGTCCCATGCACTTTGGAAAGCATTGGGGTATGCATGGGGCAATTTGTTTAAAATTAAAAAAAGCTTTTTGTGAAATATATGCAAAATAATGATCTCACCTGAAAAATGATGCTCGCAATCCTCATACATGTGTTTCTAAAGTGTACATATTGCTCAACAGTTGGATGTCTAAATCCAAAGGCAGAGGCTTAGTTTTGCAATGCTCTGCATGTGTACAAATATAATTAATGTTTACGAAGCATTCTGAAAACAATATTTGTTATTACTGAAAGGATCATACAGGAGCCATCTGAAGTTGGGTTTGATTTATGGAAAAAGTTGTTGCAGATTTAAATTGCAGACTTCAAGAACTTGAGTAGATTAGTACGGGGAAGATGTCCTTGGGGATAGCTGTTGGAAACACAGTTCCCTGGATATCACAATGGGGGAAAGGTCTCAGTTTATAAGTCCTGGGAAGTAGCATCTTTTGTCTCTGACTTAAGGGTATGAACTTTGTAATTTTTCATGGATTTACTGCTACAGACCCAGACAAAAATTATCCACTTACATTTGTCCTTTTTTTTTTTTTTTTTTTTTTTTTTATTTTATTTTTTTTTTATTTTAAATATTTTGAAAGCACAGAATAATGAGTGCTTGATCCTCCTGAGTCACAGAACAAAGATAATTAAAAGAGAATCATTCCTCTGCTGGGCCCATAGTGCCTCTTGAGGGGAACATGAGCATATTGATGCTCAACCTAATAAGTCATCAGTCCTAGCTATTGCTCTATGTTGGCCAATACATATATATATATATATATATTTGCATTGCGTGTATCCATGTTGCAGATTCTTCTTGGGCAAGTTGTGCCAACAAAGTGACCCAGAGAGAGGATTATAGTGCCCTGCACTATATGCCTGTACATGCTTGGTCAATGTTTTTCATGCTATTTTGGGAGAATAGTCATGTGAGTAGGCTGGCAAATTAATTCTAGTACTTCAATTAATTAAAAAATCCACATCTGCTATGCGGGCACCGGCACTCCTGAGAGCCTGTGGACGAGGTTTCATGGTTCTCCATGCTGCTGCAGGCAGACCGCTTTCCATGAACCCCTCAGAGGTGAGCTGCCATGCAGAAATGCAGTTTGGATGAATTATTGAAAAATGCAAAAGCTTATAAATATTGAGTGGTGATTTAGTTAATGCTGGCACAGGTGCTGAATCTCAGGAAGGTGACAGTGCCACTTAATAGTGAGACTCACAAGGGTTCAAAAATAAAGTGAAAAAAGGAAAACCAAAAAGTGCATGCTGCATGACAATATTTAATGGGAATGAGAAGCTGATTAAACATGCACAAAATTAGATGGATAGAATATAATTAAAAGAGTTCCAGGACTTCATGAGGGTCTACAATGAATCTCAATTTCCATGATTTTGCATAGATTGTTGTTCTTTGATTAGAAGTATTTTACAAAGAAATCTGCTATTACAATTGCTTGAAGTTATTTTTTTGCCCTGGCTTGCATTAAATGAGATAGAGGCAGAAAAATAAGCTAGAAAATCATTACATCGTGGGTCTAAGCAGAAATAAAGCACAAGAAAAACTTATAAATGCCTAAATTTAAGAAATGCCAAGTAGAGTTGTTTTTTTTTTTGTTTTTTTTAATGTTAAATATGCATTCAGCAAAATATAAAAATTAATATGAATTTTAATAAAATTTCATTTTGGAACCAAGATTTTCAGTCAAATAATTTTGAAATATTTTTTGTTGTTTATTTTGAGAGAAATTGATAATAAAAAGTCAATGTTGGCATAAAAACTTGAATTTATTGAGAGATACATTTTTAGCAAACCAAAAAAATGTATTTTTGAAAATCTTGTTACTTTGAAAAGTCTGCTTTTTTGTTTCATCCTAATTTTGAATAAGATCAATAGTGAAATTTCAGTTTCTCGCAGTTTGGAAATTCTAGTCCTCATGCAGGTCTAGTGCCAGGAAGCCATGCGTTTAGTGACTCCACTGGGAACCGTGGAAGCTCAGCACTTCTATAATCCATTATCCATAAACTTAGTCGTGATCTGTCTTACAGTTCAGTTCTGCTTTTCACTTATCCACAGATATCCATGTTGGATTTAGGCTGGCCTGCAGGTTCTATAACAAAATGGTTTGGACAAGTGAGGAGAAAAAGGATTAAAGTTTCTTGTATCATAAAATGATAATCCTGAGTTACAAGCTGTACCAAAACCACACATACCCCTAAACCCATGAGATCCCCTGGAACCGAGTAAGTTTCTGATATCGAACAACGCAGTAGATCCCACTATGGTTTGCTGAGGGAAAGTGGTGAGAGTTGGGCCAGGATATATCACAGAATATGGTGGAGAGTCAGGGTCCACTATGTCCACTATTGTATCGGGGTATTTTATGACACAGGTCTTGCTGGAGGTGAGGGCAAACGGCTCAGGGCACATCACCCCCGGCGGCAGGCAGCACTCGTAGGGAGACATGGGACAGATCCAGACCTGAAACACAGGAGGAGGGGAGAAAAGATGGTCATCAATCCAGCAAGAAGTTTACATATTAGATATCGAGATTCTGGGAAGACATGGTTGCGTGCTGGATATCACTGTTGATGGTAAAATGGGGAATTACCAGGTGCAAATAATTCAGGTGATAATTAAATGTTTGTTCAGTTTTCTTTTTCCATCCAGTAACTCTTCTCCTTAAGTAACCCTTTTGAACTTCATTGTTTCAATATCTGATATTTTCTAGATCACCACCGTTTTAATCCTAAAATGCTCTTGTCCTATTGTTTCTCTTCTCCCCAGGATTTTCAGTGTGTTGCACTGCTCTGTCTCACTCCTCCTATTGCCAGTTCAAACCCTGCTGAAAGCCATAACCCCAACACAACTCCATATTTTAAACTTCAATTTTAATCCTCACTTCACTGGCAAAACCAAAACATGGGGGTGAAGCTAGTTACCTCATATCACCTTGTTAGAAGTGGAACAGTATGATCTGAGATGGAGATCCACCCATCTTTTATTAGTCTCATTATATATCATCTGGATTACAGTATCTTATATTTGAAATCACACCGCTCTTTAAAACTGTACCTGATATCGAGGCCAGATTTTCCTGGGCATTGTATAATTATAGATTAACAGGCTCTCATTGCCCTGAATTGTGCCCACACTAATTAGGCAAGGCAAACAGAGTAAGGAAGAAGTGATAACTTTTTTCACTCTATCAGTGTGAAACTGATGTGGCAGGGATTAAGGGCCCATAAAGGATGGGCCTGAACTGATCTCCCAACTGAGTCCCCACATTTACCCCAGGAGCTTGTGGGAGAGACACCATTTGGGGAGATTTCTTACATCTCCATCTATACATCTTGGTTTAGTCACACACCATTGTTGCCTTCAATCCTCAGAGCTGCATCTTCAGCTTTTTCCAACTGACTCCGCGTCTTTGACTTGGAGGTAGGGAAAAAGCAACAGCAGAACATTCTGCCACCTAAAGAGCTGGATCTGAAATGCTTCATTTTGCCTTTGAGAAAAGAATTGCTATCACAGATCGGTCTTAAGGGTAGGGATTCTCAAGTCGTCAGTGTAGACAATTTGTCAAAGCTCATTCTAGCACTTGTGAAAGGAGGTAAAGAAGGAGCACTTGTACATTCCTTTTAGATTTTGAATTCAACAATAAATATATTTTAAACAAAACCAGCAGTAAAATGGCTTTTTAGTAAAAAAAAAAAAATCTGAATTCCAGTCTCTGTAGGATTTTGAAAATATTTAGGACAAATTCTTCAACTCTCAAAAGACACCATAGCTTCCTTGAAGACAGCTGAGGGTGAGAATATAATAAAAAATTATTTTTTTCAATAATAATTTATTTAATGAAACCTAGTCTTTAGAATATGAAAAAAAATGATTGACTGCATGAAATTATTGAGACTCTGTAGAGTTCTGAGGGAGTTTTACATGCCATCCCTGGTTTAAATGAACTGCCGTCCTGAACACTAATGTAGTTTGCAAATGCCAGCTTTCAACTCTGAAGCTCAAAACTTAAATTGACTTAAAACTAAAGGACAATAGAAAGTATAGTTCTGGAAGAATACCCCCTTGCTGTTTCCTAAGTTTAACCTGTAATTTGATAATATTTAGATAGCAATAAGTAATTGATTTAAAATTGACTTACCTGGATCACCAAGGAGAAGAGTTTAAGAAAAGTGATTAGAAGAGTTCTACGTAGCAAACGCTTTTATACACTTAGTCAAATTGCCTGGAGGATGTGACACCCTTTTTGCATGAAGTCTTAATTAGTTGCAAAACAAACTTTGCTGCATGCATAACTTCTGCAAGTAATGAAACTGTTTTGCTCGCTGCTTGTGTTTGTTAGCTATTGGATCTTCACATAGTGTGCTAAATACATACTACACCCTGCAGGCAGGATTCACTTTAACGTTTCATGGGTAAAAAAGAACTTGATATACTTCATTAACCACATTTCAGTTATATTATGAGTTGATCATGACTTGCTTTTTTTTTTTTTTTCCTCTCAAGTTGTTTGTGAAAGGGATTCAAGGGAGCATCAGTAGTATCATTTGCTGTCAGGGAACAGGATTTTATTTTAATTTCCCAAATCTGACATGTTGTCCTTTGTGTAAGAAAGAGTTTTCCTCTGAAATGCCTTACAGGACCTTAAACTTAACAGTATACAGCTGTTATCCCTCAGTGAATATTCATGGATGAGGAGAACAGCCCAATAAATTTGTAGCCATTTTCCCAGTGAGACTGATCATCTCTGAATAGGATTGGCTCCTAGGGAGAGAGCGATAAGTTATTTAACATCCACTTTAGTCTCTACAAATAGCGCTTGCATAGGATTTAAGTGGAGCACGTGGATTTGTTCCTGGTCTCTTTGCAGGGGTTGACAATGTTGCAATTAAAGGCAGGTAGATGCCATCTACCTTTTTTGTCACTGACTCAAAGTGAAGTCACAGAGCTGGGTTGTTTTTTTTCATTTGTTTGTTTGGGGATTTTTTGTTTGTTTGGTTGGTTGGTTGGTTTTTTTGTTGCTTTATTTTTTTTCCCCAGCTTTTTGACTGGGCTGAAAAGGACAATATTATAGGAAATGGAAGGTTGCAATGCACTGTACACTGAAACTGGTGTTTCCATCCAGGCTGTTTTTCTGTGGCAGTACTAAGGTGAAGACTGGGTGCGGGCCAGAGGGTGAGGAGTACACAAGAAATAGCTCTATCCTGATGAGAACTTAATTTAACACAAATGATAGATATAAGTTTAATATAAGAGTATCAAAGAATTGGAGAAAATAGGGATTGTCAGTTTGTCAAGATTTTTATGAATGAGCCAGACAGGTGGGTTTAAAAATGTTTTTATAAACACTCTGAAGAGGAAATCAATAGGACAGGAATATCATGTTAAAGAAGGAGAGGGAAACCAGGATTCTCATGGAAACAGATTTCTGAAAAAGCCATCAGTTAGTGCAGCTGGGAGTTTTTTGGCATAAGTCACCTGACACATCAGCTCATAAATCAAAACCACTTTTTTTTTTTAATAAAAGGCACTCTTAATTAAAATCTTATTGTAATACCAGGGATAGGGATCACTTATATATTTGGGGACACATTTAACAAGTACAATACAACTCGCTGTGCTGCATTAGCATACCTGATGCACAATGCTTTATCTGCATAAAGGGCTGGGAATCTGTCTGAAGTCTTTTGTTCACAAGTTCCTGTAAATGTTTTTGCCTTAGGACCCCTGCTAACATTCTCCCAAGCTACAGAGAATTTATGATATCAAGGAAAATTTTGAGTAGATAATAATTATGAACAAAGGAATTCTTCCTGCCAGTTTACAAGGCAAGGAAAGGAGGTGCATCATCTTCCTAGAACCACGCAATGGTTGCCCTTCACTTTGAATCTGAACCTTGTGAAAGAGAAATAGTATTTTTGATAGTCTTTGACATGAGGTTCCAGGGCCTGATAGCTGCTTTAAGACAGTAAAGTTTGGTGTGGGACTAAAAAGCTTTCCGGGACTGAAGTAACCAAGAAAAGTGACACAGCTGAGAGGACTCCAGTGAGAAATTCCCTGTTCAGGATGAAAGGTGGTATTGCCACTTTATTTAGGTACATGGGGATCTCTAAAGACTCTTCCTTTAAGAGACAGAGATGCACCAGCTGCTCTGGAGAAGGTAAAGATCTAAGGCTGAAATACATTCTTTTATTAACACTTCACAGCCCTACAGAATGACTGGAGTCAAGGCTGGTGCAAGTTTGCATAATGTGGTATATTTATTTGCAGCTGATTTTCCCATGCTTTGGTCCCTTTTCACCTCTCTTTGCTCCATCCTGGTTAGGAAACTTTGTGCTGAGACTGACTCCCTGTGAGATAAGTTACGCTCACACCTCTGCATTGGCATGCCTTCCACTTTTGTGGGGATCGCTGGAGTATTTATGCTGATTTGTTTAAAATATTTAAAAATCAAATCTGGCTGCGTGGAGTTATGGGGGAAAAAAAATCCTATTCCTTCTGCATAACATACATAAGATAAAGCCTTTCCTATTTGCTGAAGGCAGATGTTCTTCAGGGAGGCAAAGGTTTTTTTTTGCACAAATTAAGAGCTCTGTCTCTTGTGTGTCTCTGATTTTCATTGTGTGAATCTATAGGGGAACACCACTGTGTGAAGCAGGTGCTTCACTTCTTGCCAGAAGGTGGACAAAAAAAAAATAGTCTGCAGTAAAAAGGTAGATTTGCATTTCACCCTTAGCACTGTTTGGACTTTTCTTTGAGAAAAACATTACTGCATCTTAGCCAGATTATTTTTTTAGGACCATAATAAATATGGGAAATATCGGTACTGTTTTCTGATTAAAGTAGATTTTTGAGGGCTCCAGGCAAAAGGGGAGTAAAGACAGGTAGGAATGTCCTAAGATTTACCTCTAGTTAATCTGCCTAAGCACTGCTCTGCCACTGGAGCTATGTAACATTAAAGCTGTGCAGCAGGATTCATTCAACTGAAAAGTCATATATACATATATAGGGAGATAATATATATTTATTTATATATGTTTATTTTCATTCAGAATTCATTTTGTAACATTGGGTTCTTGCAATTTAACCACAGATAAAGAAAACGATTGGCTGCATCAACATAAAATTCATACAACATGCTGCTCATAAGCCAAGTGAAGATAAACTTTAAAAACTTGTATGTTAAAAAAGAAAAAAAAATCAATTTTTCAACTGACTGTAAACCACCGCAGGTACTGTTCTTAGGGAGGAAAGTTTTTGCGTGTAGTAGTTGTGGAGTTGCCCCAGTAGCTCAGATTTATAGGCAAAGCAGCAAGACACCCTGTGATGGTCCAGGCATGGAGCCCTGCAGCGGGAGAGCCGCAGGGTTGCTGTGAAGGAGCCTGAGAGCGGTGGTGGGAGTGGGGTGGCAGCTCCTTCCCTGCATCTGGATGTTGCCTGAACCAAGGCAATGCCCTGTGGAGGTTTTTCCACAAGTGCTTGGGACAAATCAGATATGATCGTCAGTAAACATTACTGGAAGATAGCTGGAAATGCCTGGCAAGAAAAAACTTAGCTGCCAACCATGCTCATCTTCTGTAGTTGAAGCTTTTTGTGCCATTAAAGGCTCAGTGTAACCTGTGCTCCTCTTATGGGCCTTCTCTTTTCTAAATATTGTCTCAGAGACTGCTCAGTGCTTCATTGCACCCACTTTTTACAGCCCCTTGTGCCACAGTAAGTTGCGGAATTTCTTGAGATTCTCTTTACAGTTTTGGACACTGTATAATGCTACCTTGCACTTCCCTTGCAGATTAATTTTTCATTGCCTTTGGCAAATTCTAATTCTAGTTATTATCTAAGTTTAATAGGAAGCACAGAGGCTAAATGAATTGTCAGAGGTCATTTGGTGAAGCAAATGGAACAGCCTGGAGTAAAACAGGCTTTCCTCATTGGCATTTATCATATTATTTATAATTTGAATTCCAGCAACTCTTTGAAGTCTTAACTGAGATTGCATTGCATCGGGCAAACAGAGGGCAAGTCCCCACACCAAACAACAAGCATTTGAACTGATTAGACGTGAGAAACAAAAGAGGAGGGATTGCTATCAACAGCAGTGTACAGGGATTAAGGGAGGGGCTGTCAGTACAGAAACGTACAGTGAGCACTTTTTGATATGTCCTGAAGTGACTTTTCCGGTTTTACATAGGAAATCTGTGGCAGTCAGGAAGGAATCACAGACCTAAATTTTAATAAATGATTTAAATTTAAGAGTACCCATTATATTCACATTCTCTCAGTGTTGTTTCCACAATGAGCTAAGGATTTGGTGTAACAGCTTGGCCTATAAGACGACTGAAGTGTGTGTGACCACAACTAGGCCAGTAGTTTGGACACCAGAACATCATTCTCTCTGGGATAGCCGTGTTTACAGGAAAGATAGGAGACTTGCAATGGAATCTGAAGAAATAGGTGTCCAAACGGATTAGAAATCCTCATGTAGCAGAGATCCTCTTGGTCTGAACAAAACCTGGAAATTCGACAGGGCTGGAAAATCTCAAACTGAGGTTTGGTTTTGGTGTGTTGTTTTTTGGGTTTTTTTTTGGTTTTTTTTTTGTTGTTTTGTTTGTTTTTTTTTTTTGTTTTTGTTTTTTGTTTTGTTTGGTGTTTTTTTTTTCCTTACTTAGAATGAATAGTGAACATTGATAACATTGATTTTTTTTTTAATTAAAAAAAAATTATTTTATCTCTCCACAAAACAGAGGAAGAAGCACCAGGTTTTTCAAAGCCACTTAAAGTACTTAAGACACCATCCCTAGTTAAAATCCATGCCTTCATTTAAGTGTTTTGAAACCTAAGCTGTCACTTAAGAAATCTGCAATTACCAATGCCTGCAAATTGTTAACTATGGAGTGATGATCTCTGTTAAAAAAATAATACCCTTTAAATGAAATCCTACATCAAAAATCATCCCTTAGGTAATGGCTGGTTACCAAGCAACAATTGTCTCAACATTGATTTATCTGCTTTCCTGAAGAGAATAGTTAAATAGGGAAAAAGAAAGAAAACAACGAATAGGAAGAGAAGTAGGAGGCCTGTGTTGTGGGAACTTTCTTAAATTAATTGAAATATTAAAGAAGCCTTTTGTGTGTGAGGTTCTAATTAGCTACCCAGATTATTTTTTTTTCCAAGAGTAAGTTCTGCATACTGTCTGCAT